CATTAGCCTGTGTGTTTCTCCACTTTTCTCTAGGCATTAGCAGCCATTCTAATAGCCTTGATTTATTCCTGTTGGTTTAATCTGCGAGTCTCCAGGCGAACGGAACAACTCACACGACGGATGCACATCTGTTACGTCTTCGGGTGGGGGTGTATGTGTGTGTCTACGCTCAACAGATGTGCGAGTACGTTCAATCATAATGCACACAACAGAGGCTTTATTTGCTAGATGACTTGGGCCGGTGGAATTAGTTTCCACGACGGTGCGCGCACTACGTCACACGTGTCTCACGAAGCCTGTCAAAACAAGACAAACTAAACTAAAATAATAGGCTTAAATATCACAACTGATGAAAAAACAAAAGCAAATGGCACAGAGCAAATCGGATTAAACAGAGCTATGGGTACAACAGTTTGCCTCACTGCAGAAAAATTTCATTCATGATAATTTTTTCTATGTGTTTCATATTCTTAATGTGGAAAGTTTTCATTAGATTTCAGATATTGTTACTGTATTATTGTAAAACAATGTCTTTGAATAAAATCAGCATAAATTAAACAAAAATAAATTAAACATAAAATAAAATAAAATAAAATAAAAGGATCATTAAGATTTTTTTGTAGTGACATAATTTCTATGATTAGTTTCTTTCTATGCATTTCATATGCTTAATGTGAAAAGTTTAATTAGATTTCAAATTATTTTCCTGTGTTATTGTAAAACAATTGTTCTTAGCACAAATCAGCATAAATTAATGGCAGAACAGCATATAGTTATAATATATAATTTAACAATTTTGTATAATTTAAATACACACTTATATAAAGTATGTGTGTGTATGTATATATACTGTATATATATATTCTTGACAGGTTTAGTGAGTTCTGGTGACACACACACACACACACACACACACACACACACATTCAAGATTGCATCCCCACTGGCTTCAGTCACAGATCCATCATCTTAGTTTCCTTTAATAGCGAAACTACCTAACTACTGCAATTATCCTCTCTGTCGCTGTGACTACTGCTCCCATGGCTACTGCCACCATCGCTAGGTAACCAGGGACTCCAATGGATGCTGGTAAATGGCTTAGTTCTTTATCAGAGCAAACAGAGCGAGTGTGGGGATCTAGAGAGCACTTTAATGTATTTGGTGTCCAGAGGGCAGGAATGGCTTATGATGGAGAGCTCAGGGGCAGGTTTGGGGTTGATTTCTGTCCCCTTATAAGCACTCTGGTGAACTGGTTCCCGACACTGCCATTCAAGTCCCTACTGTATATTGCGAGTTTGCAGTCTGAATTAAATGTGAGAAGATAAAAAGACATAATACAAAGACAACTAATGAAAGAAAGACTGAATGAATGAATCTATTTGACTGATTCATTAAAAGAAAAGCTCATACAGGGCTAGTAATTTGTTTGTATAAACCAATTGAAATTACGGACTTTTTCCGTGTTTAAGTGCTATAATCCCCGGTGCATCTACCAACCCATAAAACGTGAAAACGAACAACACAGTAATTTTTTTTGGACAGTTTAAGCGCAAAAAGGCATGAAAGAGAACTTAGTTTAATACTCACATGCCGTGTGACAGCTGCTTTCTGTGCGCGTGCTTCGGATGTGTGCGCTCAGAAAACAGCATATCAGAAATGTAAACTAATATGGTTTAAAACGCATGATTTCAGCATGATAATTAAAACCAGACAGATATTTTTTTTTTTAGCAGAGTATCTGAGGTATGAGCTGTAAAGGCAGAGCCCTATTCTGGAAAAGGGGGTGGGGAGCAGCAGCTCACTTGCATTTAAAAAACATGCAGTGTTTCTGCTTCCACTCAAAATAGGCATTTTCAAAATGATATAATAAATTATCTGTTAAAATGATGCAGCTAAAACTGCACAGACACATTCTGGGGACACCTGAGACTTATATTACATCTTGTAAACAGGGGCATAATAGGTCTCCTTTAATAAATCAGTGAACCTTTTGATGATGAGTCATTTGTTTGTTGCTCATCTGCATGTAGTCTTCAAGCAGCTGTAATAAAAACATGCTGTTAAATTTAAGGGTCAGAAAGAGGTTGTAAAGGTGCTTTTTTCCCAATAAAAGCTTGACTAACACAAGGAGGAAAATATGCTACAAATTGAATAATATTTCCCATTTAGAAACTGCAGAGATGCCCTGCAGAGCTTTTTCATTTGAATTCTATCTATCTTTCTCTCTCAAGACTTTGGGTATTTGTGTCATTGTGCCAAAATCCCCTCAGTGGATGAGTCTGTTTCTGCTTGTTTCATAGAGCCAAAATAAAACACATTTGCATCTGATTTAAGTCCTAATGTAAGCTAATGTATCCTACTTCGCTTGATTGGATTGAGAAATAAGAAATGTGCTTATTAGTTGAACACACAAACGGCCTGAAATATCTGCCAATGCCAATATAAAATTAAATTCAGATTTCCAAAGGGCCGAATCTCTGGGAATAGTTCTGGTTTAGGATTTTACATCCTAATATGTAATTATATGACCAGCAAACCGGAAAACAAACCAAAAGACTCGCCACGGTTGCCCTTTTAGCCCAGCACAGGTGAAACGATCATCAGTCAGAATGTCGTTGTTCATTCAGACCTACCGTCCCTCCAGACAGAAACATCTTGTATGATTATTGATTCAACATCAGCTGTCCACCCATTTTCTACCCTGTTTTCAACATGTCAAACAAATTTGGAGGAATGATTCGCATTGAAAAATGCCCCTAGGGATGTTCTATAGTGGAGTCTGCCATCGGCACCACACATAATGCTTTTCACAGATGGACAAATACACATTTCATGCCTGTCATATTTCCTTAGCTTGTGTTGTTCTAAATGGTAGAACTGTGTTATACAAGTATTACATCTGCTGGAAATTACGTTCACTTAAAAGATCATTCTGTCATCATTTACTTATTTCCATAAATGTTTGAGCTGACGTGAGGGTATTTTCACGCTGTTCTTTTCAAAACAACAAAAACATACACTGAGACAATTAGGCTCCAAAATGGACAAAAAAAAGCACCACTGAAGCACCCTATACAACTTATCTGACCTGCTCATTATACAGCAATTTGTTTGAACAAACATTCAAATATACGACTCTTATAAGTTGCTTCCTTGAAGCTTTTGACTCTTTTGAATCTCAGTGCCTCATTAAAAGAACCAGCCCATAAGAGTCATTTCTTTGTAAAAACAGGTGAACAATTGAGTCCTACGAGCTGGTTCTGTTAATGAATCAGTGAATCATTTTGACAGCTTCATTAAAAAGAACCAGCTCGTTTTTAATTTGTATTTTACGAGCATTATATCTGCCTGGAAATTACATTTTTAAAGTACTGCTCATTTAAAATGATCATTCTGTCATGTTTACTCACCATCATGTCATTCCAAACATTTAGAAAGGTGCTGCTCTGTGCAATACAACTAAAGTATATAGTGACCAAGGGCATTAAAGCTCCAAAAATGGACTGTAAAAGTAGTCGATACAACTTGTTTCGAATGATTCATTAAAAGAACCAACTAACAAGAGCCATTTGCTTGTATAAGCATTCAAACAAGGGACTCGTATGAGCTGGAACCTTCAGTGAATCACTGAACCATTTTGACAAATTTATTAAAAGCAAATGACTCTTGTGAGCTGGTTCAATTAATTCTGCTCTTTTCAACACAAAAAAAGTATATAGTGACCAGGGGCATTCAAGTTCCAAAACAGACAAAATAAGTACCATGAAAGAACTCCATACTTTTTTGAAATATTCATTAAAAGAACCAACTCGTAAGAGTAATTTGTACAAGCATTTTAACAAATGACTCTTGTGAGCTGGTTCTACTAATGATTCAGTGACTCTTGTTGCCAGTTCATTTTAAATTTGTATTTAAATCTGCCTGAGATGCCATTTCAAAGGGATTGTTGACTTAAAATGATAATTCTGTCAAGTTTACTCGCCCTTAACAATAAATGAGCCATCTTCAATACTACAAAGGGCATTTAGGCTCCAAAAAAGTAGTCCATACTACTTGTTTGCTGTATAGAGACTCTTTAAATATCGTCTGCACATATTCAAGGTTGGCATGTTAAAACAAACATTACTGAATATCATAATCAGTTGAGACAATTTTAAAAGACTCAGAATATAACAAACGTTTGACATGAACAAGATTTATGATACTTTTATGCTACTTTTTTTTGTCATTTTTGACTTTGACAGCCCCAGTTGCTATTAACGTTAACAGTATAGAAAAGAACAGGTCGGACATTACACTTTGTGTTTCATAGAAGAAATAATAGTCACAAGGGTTTGGAATGGCATAATTGCTAATAAACAGTGATAGAACTGTAATCTTTGCATAATCTATCCCTGTAAAGGCTACACATGCCAGCAATGTATTACGCTAAATATTGTCTCCGTCTCTAACTGGCCTCATAAAGCTCAGTTAGATCAAGGTACACGGCTCAGGTGAACGACTCGGGTAGCTAGAGCATCAGAGGAGACCGGCGAGGCCCGCACTCATCCGTGCGTTCGTTCTATCACGCCGCTAAAACGGCAATGTGCTGACATTTCTCTTCATTAGAGGCAGTGAGCAGGAACGCAGGGACTGGAGACATGCTTCATTACGGTTCTTCATTTAAAGGGGCCACGCCTGAGCTGACACATTAGAGTCATCCGCACAGGGACGCGCGCCGGCGAGGGGGGTTCATATCTTAGAAAGGTCATGTGCAATGGACATACACACACAAACACAAGTTAACGTGATGAAAGCACCATCAAAGGATTTGTGAAAAAATAGACACCAGTTTTGTCCCCAATAGCGTGTTCAGGAACAATCACTGTACTTCCAATCAGTCTGATGACACTAAAGCCAGACGCACACAAAAACCTCATGGTTTGACAGTCTGTGCTTCCATGAGGTTTTCTGGAGAGTTTGTGATTGTATCTTGTTACTAATAGCAAACAGCCTCTCACCTCGACTCCCTGCACTTTGAGCTTCATGTGATCCTCCCGCGTGGTTTTTCCATCTTTCCTCTTCTTCCAGCAGTAGCCATCCTTTCTGTACTTCACCTTCTTCCTGTTGTAGAGGATCATAGACCCATTCTGCGGCCTGAGACAGAGAGAAAGGGAGAGTTTAGATGGATTTGTTTTAGCACACACACAAAAAACACATACTTTAATAATAGTGATTGCGTTTTTATTTTCTTTGCTTTGTTTTTTAAGACAAATAAAGTGAAATATATGGGAGAGTAAAACTAAATGAAACATAATATAACATAAAATGTTTTTAAAAGACTGACTGATTTCAAAGATACTACACAGTATTTACTAAAACACAAAATATTAAAAATAGAAATGGAAATGAATATAAAACAAATAAATATTATATACATAAATTTTCATATTATTTTTAACCCTTTACTCTGCATTTATATATCATTAAAAAGCAAAATAACATATTTAAAAGACACTATTTTGTATTATTTTTAGATTCTTAAAGTATATATATATATATATATATATATATTACACACACACACAAAAAAACAACAACAAAAAAAAAAAATATATATATAAATTACGAAAAATATATATTATACAAATTAAAATAAAAAATATATATTACAAATAACAGCCACTTTCTCTGAAGTTATTGGCACAGAATATTTTACAGCATAGAGCATTCGAGTAAACCAACCTCTTTCAATTTATAGACTCATGAGTGCAGAAAGAATTTCCTCCAAAATAATTCATAATTCCAGTAATAATAAAACACTTTAACACATCAATGACTCGAGCCTCTATCGCTCAGAGCTGATGTGAGGAACGTACAGCTCATTATTATCATAACCGTACCGTAGACGGAGTAAAACACGTTAGCTTGACGGAGTGCCTTCCAGACCGCAGCGGTAGCAGGATTAATATCACACTGAGGCCCTTTATGTGGCCCGTCCGTTCCCATTTATACTGGAGGTTTATTGCCGGCTCTGCATTTGTAGAGAATTCTTCTCTGCCCACTTCTTGGTTTGACACACAAACAATCGGTCTTGGGACTGTATTTAATGGGAATTGGTTCGATGACTGTTTATAGGTTCTGTCATGTGCATTGGTTGGTTGTGCTAATTTTTCACCGGTGACGACCGATGCCATGGGAATGTTTCCTGGGTGCCGTTTGCCAAAACTAATGTGGAAGGCAGAAGCGCCCTGCCAGCACATGCCATGCCGTGTAGCCTCAGAAATCATCAGAAATAAATGTGTGGGAGAGATGTGCCTGATCTTTGCTTTGTAGTTATTTTGAGACTTTTTGACACTTTTTATTAATAAAATCAGAACAGGGACAGGAAAGCAGAATAAGTCAGAATTCAAACTGCATTTCCTGTACAAGGACCAAGTCTTAACATATATGGAGCAGGAATAACAATAATAATAATGAAAAAAAATATTATATATTTTATATATATATATATATATGTGTGTGTGTGTGTATATATATATATATAGGATAGGACAATATTTGGCCGAGATACAACTATCTGAAAATCTGGAATCTGAGGGTGTGAAAAAATCAAAATATTGAGAAAATCGTCTTTAAAGTTGTCCAAATTAAGTTCTTAGCAATGCATATTACTAATCAAAAATTAGGTTTTGATATATTTATGGTAGGAAATTTACAAAATATCTTCATGTATTTTTGGCTATTGCTACAAATATACCCGTGCTACTTATGACTTTTGGTTATGGTTTTGTGCTCCAGGGTCACACACACACACACACACACACACACATATATACTGTATATTTGTAATTAAACAATGACCAAGTCTCAACATATAAAAATATTGTAATTAAACATTATATAATTTCTTGTTTTTTTCTTGTATTTATTTATTTTGATTTATATTTTTATTTTTGTTTTGTTGTGAAATATGTTGCGAGAATGTTTCCAACAGATTCCCTCACACAGTGAGTGATTATAATTTCTCTTAGCAGTGGAAACTCAAATAAATATGTTTCCCCATTACGACACAGGTGAGCATTTTGTATCGAACACTTCTCAGAATGCTTAATATTTTAACAGGACTATTTATCGTGAGTGTGTTCAAGCTATTTGCTCGGCTCCTTTTCCTCGGGACCTTTGGGTGAGCCATTTTCTTTTTTAATTGAAGGCAGTTTGTTCTAGGAAAAAATGAAGCACTTTAGCAGGGGAATGTGAGGTGGGCCCGGAGCACATTTCCAAAAAGCAGCTGGAACAAGAGCTCTCTTCTGTGTCCTCTTTCTCTCTCCTTCTCTGTGTACTTAGGCGATCCAATTAATCTTATCAGAATTATACATATTTATACATGGAGAGCAGGGCAAAAGGAAAGCTAACCCTTCTGTTATCACACTCGGATGACAGGACACCTCTTCTGTTTCAGCGACTTAATGTACCAGACAGAAATGGAAAATATGGGCAGGGAAGAAATGTTATTAAAGGGATGTGATTCTTATTCAAAGGGCGGCATATGTTTGATTAAACACAGGCAGTCGATATGACCATGTAGGACTTCAGCAGAGCTTTGGATATCTGTATAATGAATAATAAATGGGATTGTAATGCTTTAGAATGCATTCATAATACATCAAATCTGTAGTAGTCGCACTTGAGTGCTGGCGTGTTTTAGAAGGATATTATAATGCAATCACGGAATAACTTTGCGGGCCACCCTTATTCACAGCAGGTTTATTTTTGAAAGGCACCAATTATAATACAATATCAAAGGGCAAAATTGTACAGACATGGCGTTCTGGCAACATGTTAGATTTTCCTCTAGCAACCTGGGAAATGTTCAGGAAAGTTAGAAAGTGTCTTCTCGCCACAGGTTTCTAAATTATTAATTGTATTCTGCTCATTTTACACATAAATAAAGCGCCTGTGCTGTGGTGGTGAGAGAGCTTTCTGTTAAACCTCGTTTACACCTGAAAGACACTGTGGAAATAGTGTCGTAATTACAACGGTAAACGCAAAAAGCAAGACATGAGGCTTCAGTTATGAATAAGCCAAATTTGGGATGTTCCAACATTTGCGCAAGTGATCTCCTGTGAAAACAGATGATAAACGGATGAAAATGTGCAGGTATCAGTGCCGAGGTGCAGCAGCTAGCAAATGACGCATACAATGCAAAGAAATACTGACCACTAAATACTCAATAATACACACTACTGTACACTGCCATTTTTTTAATAAATACTAAGTGAAAAAAAATACTTATTATGCAATGATAAATGTTTTCAACAGTAGTATGCTACCCTATTGACAAGTAACTCAATTTCATTACCGTTCAGCTCACATCTCGGATATAAATATGCGTATTTTGAATTTTTAATCCACTTTTGTGTAAAAATGTCTTTTTTTGTATTTGAAATAGAATACACAGATGTGAACATGAACAAATACTGCTTACTAAATAATGTGTAGTATATACTGTATACTGCCTAATGTTCAGAAATAGTATGCCATTATGCAAACTCAACATTTAAATCAGTAGTATAGTACAATACTTACAAGCAATTAAATTTAATTTCCATTCAGCTCTGATCTTGAATGTATTTCGAGAATGAGCATTTTCTTTTTTTATCCAATTTTGTGTTAACATGTCTTAGGTCTTGGCAACCCAATTAATTTATTGGCCTTTTAACCTACCTGAAGTCATCAACAAATACTATTTACTAAATCCTGGGAGAAAAAAACCCCTGATATAATTAATTACATTACTGACTTAACATGGTTACTTTAACATGGTATTTTAAATACAATTTCTGTAAGAATGTCTTCACAAACCCAAGCATACTGTATATATATATATAACTTTTAGTGCTAGCATGAATAATATTATTTTTGTTTTATTTATGGATGTTATAACTAAATTTGGGCATGCTTAGAATGGTATAAAACCATATGAACATGGCCAAATATAGGTAAACATTTTTTATATTGCACACAATGTATTGCACACGCACATACACAAAAGAGACTCCAGTCGCGTCTTATCCGAACATCACAATGTTTGACTCGACCACCAGAGCATCTGATACCTTTTAACAGACAGAGGCTCCTGGTGTGTGTACAGACACGCTGGCATTTAGCCACCTAAAGGACTGGCATTCCATATGGCACAGAAGCTGAGCTGTTTATCCTTGCAGGAGTCCTGCCTCTCTCAGCCTGTTTTCAGATCTCCTCACCTTGCCTGTTGATTTAATAAGCGATAACAGAGGTGGCAGGCGGTAACAAATCACCCCCCATGTATTCTCCCACCAGCCCACCCCTCAATGTCAGCAATCACACTCATCAATCAATCACCTCATTACCATGGTGACAGGACTGCGGCACACACGAACGCAAAAACACATGCGGACGGGCACATGTGCCGTTGGTGTGCTGCTGTCGGATGCAATCTAATGTAATTGTGGGTCTGATTGAACAGAATTTGATTTCTGCTGTCTGAGGGGGTGCTGAGGGTGTTTCTGGAGACAAGATTCCATCAGTGTTCAAGCGTCTTATCGAGATGCATTGCTAATCACAGCCTCTGATGGCAGTAAAGCAAGGCTGTGGCAGATTCAGAACTGAACCGAGAATGTGTTTTAAAAACCAACTTCATTCCTGAATTTGAATTCAGTTTGAATTGAGCAAACAAAGAGGATGCAGAATTGCAATTCCGATTTGAATGTAAGGAATTAGAATTAAAATGAAATTCTAAATTGTATTTAGGTTATATATTTAATCAGAAATAAACTCTCTTTTGCGGATCAGTGTAGAAGAACACTTAATTTCCCAGAATCCATTACTTGTGTTGAATTACAGTTCAGCCTGTTTTGTGTGGCCACAAAACACTTCGATTCAAAAGGGAACCAATTCTTCAATTCTCTGTAATGAGTGAAAGTCAACATGAAATGACATTTACAACCCACTTTACTTTCATAATGTGGTATGACCTATGCTTATTTGATATCAGCGCTGAAAGCTTTACTGAACACATATTAACTAACTATAAAATACTATGTTAACTATTGGAAAAGACTGCATTGCCTCCAGTGTTGGGGTGTAACTAGATACATGTAACGGAATCACGTAAT